ACCACGAGAATAAAAAGTCAACCCCAGCTAGGGGAAAAGGAGTGACTACTTCGTTAGGAGAATTTCAAACTTTGGGATGGCGTGGTAATTCACGATGGGGGTTCAGCTGCGTTTCCAGTTCTAGAGGTTAGCTAGTTGGGAAAGATAGAGGTGCAAAAGTAGTTGCATTGAGTGCATCGATTTCATGCCGATCTTATTAAATCCGTGGACGAATTGTCACGTTTGAAAGCTACTATCTAAACCTCTTGAGTAATTGGCCGCACTGCCAGGAATTTCTCAGTTTTTTGCTCGAAGGATCGCACACACAATGAGGAGCAGGACTTCGGGACCTTAGCTCTTAAAATTATAGTAGTGTGCCTAAAAACGATAAAGCTCCCTCTTGCGAGGAAATTAATCAGTGACAACCACGCTAACGAGAAAAATTGCCTAGTCTGAGCACAACCATTTTATCTAACTGATCGGTGTATACTCTCTCAATGCCACAATAACGATTCAGTCCTTCTTAGGCTATACCGTCCGCTTCTGGACCGTGTTTTGGCCGATATCGTTCGTCCAATGCAGGCTATCAACATCTCCTTCGTCGAATATGTCATCCTGAAGGCCCTCGTCACATTCAAAAGCACTCGTGAGTTAACCATAACTATACACCAAAATAAGATTGAGGAACGTAAACTTCTGAAATGTACCATATTTTCAAACATTTCAGGGCTAAAAGATGATTGAATGAAGGTCAGCGTAGGCAATTAGTTGCGAGTGAAAACTTATTTGGACTTGAATTTGCATCTGAAGGCAAAGATCGAGGCTCGATTTGGATATTATGGCGCCTGAAATTGAGTGTAGAGATGGGAAATGGAACGACAGTGAAGAAAAAACGGAAAGAAACCGTCGACAAGGCCGAAAATAGAACCCCTCTCCATTCGCAGCGAGAGGGCTGGCATAGCAGGGAGGCTTGTCCGGAAGAGTTCTAAAAAATTTTTTAGAAAGTAAACAATTCGGAGTTTTCAACTTTTTGTCATTCCATCTCATGGGGATACTTTTGAAGAAAGATGTGACCATTTAAATGAATAGCGTAATTGCTGCAAGGTTTAGTTTTCAGTTAAAAAAGGAAATTTGAGAGATCGTAAAAAAAAACTTGGTAGGATTCTGGAAGCAGAAATTGTGATTTACTTCATGTATTGGTTTACGCAAAAATTTGCAAATTCCTTCTATTTATTGAATAAAACTTCATGTTGCCTCGATTCCAGTCCTCTGAGCGAGAAAAAGCGCACGGACTCACTACTGTCCACCAATCTCCGTGTCGGTGAGACCCATACATCAATGATGGTCATAACTGTATAGGAATCTTCACGGACCAGACCGTTGCGGCGGGACCGAGAAGTTTTTGTGACGAAAGGCTGGTTAGATACGGATCCACCGTTTTGGGGAGTGCGAACGCGGAGCGAGATGAACATGGTGAACAGATTCACTTCAACGCTTACCATTACAGTGGGATCGTACCAATTCATGCACCGTGCACGTTCGCAAAGACACTTCCGGTCCGGCCCACTGTCCATGGTCCGTGGAAGATCCTTTAGTGTGAAAAGACACAATAGGCCAATACAGGGAGTCGCACTGATACCATACGAAATGGTATCAGCGGAAAATTTTGAAATCTGCGCGGCGCGCGGTTGACCCGGATGAGACGCGCAACCGTGTCACGACGTCCGAGTGGTGTGCACACAGGGGGCGCTCCGCGTCGCGCTGTCGTCCACTATTACTCTGTCGCTGTGTTATGCGCCTTTATCTCTAATGCTTCTCGGATCCCGAATATTTACCGATATTCCTTGCATGATTTGTTCTGCTGGGTGAAACTCCAGTTCGGGGGGGGCCACTCCATTGCTATCTTATCCGTAGTACTAGAGAGCAGTTCTTTGGGCTATCGAACACTACGGATAAGATAATAAGTGAACGACTCATTTCGAGCGTACTTTTGATAAGGACCGGTGGATGTCCTACATTCCACACTACCTGCCCACATCCCATCCACTTTTCTGCACAGGTGATCCACCCTGGAGCTCCTGCACCCTTAGCCCTTTGCGGAGGTGTCCTTTCTCCTGGTCCAGGACCGTTCCCTTGGGTCATGGCAGGCGGAAATGTGAAAACGTTTCAGGGTTTCTCACCCATTACACCAATATTTATCAGAAGTCTACTTTAAATGAGTCGATTACGTGTCGTGAGCCCTCTAATCCTTATCTTGAGTATTGGAGAAAAAATGGAGTGGCCCCCCCGAACTGGAGTTTCACCGTATGCCTGTAACCCGCGTTTGAAGCGCATTCAAAACTTGTTGGATACACCTCTGCAAATGCAGCACTTACTCCTCGATATAATGACACCATTTGCATTTCAGTAAGTGCGAACATTTCGTCATCACTGAAGCAGATGTCTCACGCACAAGATCGAATCTGCATTCTTTCACAGCTACTATTCTAACTCTACTACGCCTAGCTGGGGATGTCAGTCGGAGGACGTCGCTGTGCGCACAGGCAACGTTATCCTGCTTGTCGGCAACATATTCGTGAGTCGTTCAGCATAATCCTTCTCCCCACTCCCACACAACCTTGATCTTACCGTTCTAGGAGGTGGGAATGCAATGTCTCGAAAGCCATCAAGTGATTCAGTTCTTCGATTTGTGGAAACTCGACGACCTTTTGATCAAACTAATCAGCGAATCCTTGCAGTCTTGAGTACGAACTTGTTCGGTCAGAGCCAGTTGTAGTCTTGAATTTTTGTACATAACTATGGCCTATTACTAGATACGCTCAAATCGGTCCTTGTTTGATTCGACACGGGTGAAGAGTATGCTAAGTGTTTTACTTCACTAAAAAAATGATGCAGATACACAGTCTATCACAAAAATGACTTCTAGCAAATGTTTATGCTTGTCCTACCACTTAGTTGAAAAATTAGACTTCCCATAAAAGATCGTAACGTTTTATACAGGGGGGGGGGGCAATAAAAAAAGACATTTTGTCTCCACTTTCAGATGGATTTAAGCACACTTTGCTCAATTGAGACCGAGTGTTCCCAACTTAATATTGAAGAGCACATTTCATTCTATAAGAAAATCTTCATGTTGGCCACCCACGTGGACGGCAACAGAAGAATTTGCCCTGGAAACATGGTGCACTGGTCGAGCTCAATGGGGTCTTCGAAGGATTCTGTACCATAACGACCTTTACTGGAAAGCTAGTTCCGAGGGGATTTGCACAGTGGGAGCTAATGCCTCTAGAAAACTATCCAACATTAAATCGATTCACGAAATTGCGTAAGAGCTTCAGGCTGAAGCTCACTTACGTAGACCTCCTTGAGCCTGACGACGGTGACAGATGACGTCATATTCTGAAGACGGTGAGGGCAGTGAAGGAGGGCCTGCGTTCACTTATAGAGGGACACTTAGGGAATACTCTGCTGAGGAACTCCCGTCAACGACGGCAATCTCTGCGAAGAAAAAAGGGCCGAAGTCCGACATAGGCAAAATGTCTTTTTTTTTCCCCCCCCCCCCCTGTAGACTTCGAAGGAGAAGAAGAGGCTCTATGGATTTGCAGGGTCCGGCTCGCTTTGTTGTCCCGTATCCAACATTAAGCAAAGTGTTGACTTGTTTTTGTTTGTTAACTGCTGCTTTTGGCCTTGCGAATGTTTCACAAGAATGCTGAGTTGTGACAAAAATACCAAATGGTGCCCCGGAAGCGTAGCGCACTTGCCCGCTAAGCAAGAGGAGCGGGTTCGAGTCCCGTCTGGGCGAAAGTTTTGTTCATAACCCAGCATTCTTGTGAGGTAATCAAAGTGTTGCGGCCTACTACAAAAAAGCGATAAATGGAACATGAGCTTCAACCAAGATCAGGACTAGATAGCCCTTATGATAGAAAGGTTTAAAGTAAGCTTGACTCAACATCGAAAAGATGAGCGTCGTAAGTTAGTGAATGTTGATGCATACCTTCGGACGACCTGATGATGCGCAAAAAGGCTAACGGTGCGTCAGTTGATGATACTTGACCAACGGTCTTTTCTTGGGAACATCTGACATCACGGCGTGATCTTTGGAACCGACTCAAAGGGTGACCACTAGAAGGGACGAGAATTGCAGAGGAAGGCACCTGCAGGTTCGTTTCTGCGCGCACATGTAGACCGCCCTAAAGGAGGGGGATCGCAAAAGGCTTGGAAAAGTGCGAACGCGACCGTTGACTATGGTTAGGTGCTTGCCGTTGTCCCCTCACGAGAAAATCGAGAATCATCTGGAGCACTGACAATTTTTTAGCTCCCCCGTCGGCATACATGATGGATTGAGTGCCAGCCAGTGGCTGCCCTACTTTTTCGGAGTTACCTTCGAATATCGATTTCCTATGGAACCTTTTCTATTAAGGCTATCCTCTGGTAGGAAATGACATAGAAGTCAGTGCCAATCAGCGCTAGGACTTTTACCTCCAGTTTTCTGTCGAAACCTACCTGTAGCGTTTATCGGTGATCCTGTTTATAAATATGTGATCTATTTTGGTCCTGGCAGCAAACCTGTCCTG